CTGTTTGGCTCAGTGGATAGAGCGTCAGCCTGCGGACTGAGGGGTTCCGGGTTCGATTCCGGTCAAGGGCATGTACCTTGGTTGCGGGCACATTCCCAGTTGGGGATGTGCAGGAGGCAGCTGACCAATGTTTCTCTCTCATCGATGTTCCTAACTATCCCTCTCCCTTCCTCTCTGCAAAAAATCAATAAAACATATTTTAAAAAGAAAAAGAAAAAAGAGAAAGCATTATTTTAAAAAAAGAATAAATCATAATAAAAATTAGAAAAGATTTTTAATTGAGTAATAATGAAAATATATTAATATTAATGGTATTTCTAGTTATAGTCAAAATGGATTGTCCCCATTCCTACCTATTTCTTCCTCTTACTAAAACCCCTGGATGAAATACAGCAAACAAAGGAAAGACTCTGAAAGATGAAAGGAAGAGAGCAGACTGACTAGGGACTTCAGGCCTTGAGGAATAACATGGCTGTGAGTTACCAGAGTTTTCTTTTTTCCTCTTATGTATTCAAGAAGGGGTGCTGGAGAAGTGTGCAACATGGAACCATCAACAGATACAGACAACAAACAAACCAACCAGGAAACCTGTTCCCTAGTCAAAGGACCAGAAAAGGATGTCCCAACAGAATAGAAAATCATTTTTACAGTATCCACCCTACTCAAGCCAAAGGGGGAAAAAAAAAAAACAAATCACTTTCCCCTCATGATGTTAGCAGGGCCAAGTGGGGAGCAAGACTTCTGAGCCCATCGCACTAGTAAGGTGGGGTGAGGTGGCCCTCCGTGTCATCCATAGGGATCATATCAGTGGAACAAAACGGTGACTGAACTTCCGCCCCCGCCCAGCAGCAAAGAGGCAGGATGAGGCAGTGTGAGGTGGTGCTAGTTGTACTCCACACTTTTTTCGCCCAGATAGTCAGCTTCTATCAGCAGGAGTCAGTGGAGAGCTGAACTGGACCCTTTGCTGAGCAGCAATGAAGCCACACCAGCAACTTTAGTTTTCCCTTTCTCCCTTCATGGCAATCCCTCCCGCACTAAGTATCAGCGAGGCCCAGCCAGGAGCCAAACATCCCCTCATCTGGGCAATCTACACCCACACAGGTGACTACCTGCAAAAAAAGAAGATTAAATAGGCTTAAGAACCTCGCAACATAATATCCAACATTCCAGAACAAGACTGAGTATCATTTGTCATATTGAAAACCAGGCAGTTCTCAACTTGAGTGAGAAAAGGCAATCCACAGACACCAGCTTCCCTCTCCTTGTTGACACAGATGTTGGAAGTACCTGGCAAATTCAATTCTGGTCAAGGGCAACATAATATCCAACATTTCCAGAACAAAACCGAGTATCTCTTGTCATATTGAAAACCAGGCAATTCTCAACTTGAGTGAGAAAAGGCAATCCACAGACACCAGCTTCCCTCTCCTTGTTGACACAGATGTTGGAAGTACCTGACAAAGTGTTTTAAAGCAGTGTTTATTAAAAGGCTTCAGCGAAAAATAAAATAAAAATAAAAGGCCTTAGCGAGCAATTGTGAACATTCTTGCGTCAAGTGAAAAACTGAGAAAGCCTCAGTAAAGAAATGCAAGATGTAAAGATGAGCCAAATTGAAAGTTTAGAACTGAAAACAGTAACTGAAATTTTAAAACTCACTGGATCAGCTCAACAGAATAAATATGATAGAGGAAAGAATCCGTGAACTACGAAACAAAACAATAGAAATTATTCAATCTGAACAACGGAGAGAAAACAGACTGAAAAGAAATTAACAGAAATATGGACAATAACAAAAGATCTAACATATTATTGGAGTCTAAGAAGGAGAGGAGAAAGAGTAAAAAGGTGCTGCAAGTATATGAAGTGCCCTGGTCAGGTAGCTAAATTGATTAGAGCATTATCCCGATATGCCAAGGTTGCAGGTTCAATCTCTAGTCGGGAAGAAGCAACCAATGAATGCATGAACAACAAATTGATGTTTCTCTCTCTCTCTCTCTCTCTCTCTCTCTCTCTCTCTCTCTCTCTATTACTTTTTTTAAAAAAAAATTAAGTAAAATAAAAGTAATGGTGTAAAACATCTCAAATTTGGCATAGGGCATAAATCTATATATGCAAGAATCTGAGTGATCCCCAAACAGGTTGCACAACACTGTTCAAGAAAAAAAAGCCCTAGCCGTTTTGACTCAGTGGATAGAGCATCAGCCTGCAGACTGAAGGGTCCCAAAGGACTGAAAGTATGCTTGATTCTGGCCAAGGGCACGTACCAGTCTGGGCCCTGATGGGGCAAGTGCAGGAGGCTACCAATCGTTGTGTCTCACCTGGGTATTTCTCTCTGTCTTTTCCCTCTCTCTTCCACTCTCTCTAAAAATCAATGGAAAAATATTCTCAGGTTAGGATTAAAAATAAAAAACAAC